AAAATGTTATGCAGTGCTGCTACATCTGTTGTATAACAGCTAATTATAAAGTTCAGATTTCTAGCTTGGTTAAAAGATAAGGAAAGATCATAAGAACAGCACACAAAACTTCTCATTCCCCAAGAAAGTTGTGTACAGTCCACAGTTTGGCTGATGAATTCTGGTTTGAGATCCTTTTCTTTAAATATATCTGATAAATTAGAGTATTTATTCCTCCTTCTGTCGGTTAAATTGATGAATGGACAACTCATGACTGAATGACAGTGTAAAGAGGTTTTGAGATATTAGTTTTTTAATTATTTATTAAGTTTTTACTTGTTATGTGATCTGTATTTACTAAAAGTTCGCCTATTTTAGGTTTTTGTCTTGATTTTTGTTGTCTGATTTTCAATGCAGCAGTTGCCTGATCCAGGATGATTTTCTCCTATGGGAGACAATAATCTTATCTTCCACCCATCTATTTTCTTCCACTTATCCAATTTCAGAGTCATGGTTGGTCTGGAGCCTATACCAGCTGCCAAAGGGTAATAGGCAGGGTATGCTGTTCCTAGTCCGTTGCAGGACTGACGCAGGGAGAGAGATAACCATGCACATCTAGAGCCAATTTAGAATCACCAGTTAACCTAACAAGCATGTCTTTGGACTCTGGGAGAAAGCCAGATTAAGCAGAAGGAACCCATACAGACAAACTCCACTCAAACAGACCATAGCCAGCAAAGTAGATTCGAACTCAGAACCTTCTTGCTGTGACACTACAGTGCAAACCACCTTCCTCTGTCTCAGTTTGTCTTAAATAAAATGTACCAAAACAACATATATATATATATAAGTGCATTACAGTTTGTTTGTAGGATATAAAGGGCTGTAATATAAAGAAGGCCAGCTTGCATCCATGCATCAGCCCTCTCTGTCAGCTAATCTCCACCAAAAATGCATCATAATAAAATATGGGACATGAGCTGATCATACAGGACGTTATTATGGCAAGCAAGTTAACCGGAAATTGTTTTTGTCTAACTGTATCCTGGTTCTATTTGATCATTAGTGTTGGAAATCATGCTACACAGACTGCTTGCAGTAAAAACTGTACACCTGCGGCCCCAGCCACACTCTTTATTACTTGAGAGCAACAGGACGCAAAAAGGAAAGCTACACCATCTGCATATACTGTAATAAATCTTTCTTTGCACTGTTATAATTGCATTAGTAAATGCACAAAACAGCAGGCTGTTTTGCATATTTCTTGCAGGTGCAATGTAATAACAGCTGGAGTTATAACAATAACAGTGATCACAAGTCCTGTAAGTGAGATATTCCAAAGCAGGGGAAATTTGACAGATCATACACGGTGTTCTCTCACACACATACAGTATCTGTTAAAATCACACAACACTCTTACACATGCAAGTTGCAACAACTACAAAGAAAAGGAGGAAATACTAAATGTGAGTGCATGATTCATAGAACATCACTTGATGAAGTCCATCATCTCAAGACTGTCCTCTCATGATGCCTGCAACTGATTAATGTCAGGAATATACCTTCGGAGCAAAACCAAAAGGCTGAAAAAAGACGAGTAAAAGGAATTTACAAGTTTGCACCTCACAAAAGTACAGAAGTACCTCGTGCAAAGTCATCCCACATAGCTGTATTTCAAATGAGGAAGCACCGACGATGGCTGTGGAAGAAAAGGTGGTTTTGAAAGAATGTTTTAAGCCACTTCTGTGTTTGCATTAGCCAGCTAAAGACTCATATTAACCATCTTACATCAATTGGCTGTTGTTCACATAACTCAAACAGCAATCCTTTAACAGCCCAGTGGATATCAGGGATAAAGAGAATTTACAAGATCTCTTGAACAGCAATTTTTACTAGTAAAGTAGATTCTTGTGAACATTTATTAAATAACCAAAAACTTTGCAATACAAAAAAAGACGCTCTTATAGTAGTCTGTGGTTGCTGGATGTCTGTAAAACCCTTGAGTCTACAAAGATGAAAGTGGGAGGCTAGGGTGTTGCACAGATCCAAATCTCTGCTTTTTAAAGTAAATGTGTGATGTTACTAAAGGGCAAATTTTGCATGAGTTGGTAATTCCAGGGAAATCAATGATCTTTGGTATCTGCTCCGCCATGATGTATATCTATTCCTTGTGGTTTCCAGGAAACATCATTAGCAGACGGGTTACAGCAGCAGAAAACCACAGTGGCTGTCACTTCTGTCGGCTAAGAGCAGGAAATTGAGGCGATCGTTTTTACCAACCCCTAACAATATTGTGTGGTTTGATGACTTTTGGTTTCTCCAACAAAACTACAAGGTAGAGTCTTAAATTTGGCATAAGCAATATGAAAGCATGGATCCATTGTGCCTTTTTTTCCCAACTGTTCAGGCTAGTGATGGTGGTGTAGTGGTGTGGGGGATTGTCAGTATTTAAAAACCACAGCCTACTTTAGTGTTGTTGCTTTCCATATCGATCCATTTATGATCACAGTGTACTCGTATTCTGAAGATTAATTCCAGTAGGATAAGGCGCCTATAGTCACAAAGCTCAATTCATCTAAAACTGGTTTCTTGCACATGACAATCAATTCACGCTTCTCAAATGGTCGCCACAGCTACCAAAAACAAAATCTGTGCGGGAGGCAATTCTGAAGGCAAAATAGGGTCCAAACGAGTAGCAATGTTTATCTAATGATTTGGCCGTTATCTAATAATAACAGTTACAATTTGTTCGTGTGAGAGTATAGCTCACATAAACAAATTTTAACTGTTATTATTTTTTTAGTTTATTTATTTTGTATGATTTTAATCCCGCCCTTAGGAGACTAGTGATTTTTGTTTTCTAGGCAACGTTATTCCTCGTTTTGTTCCTTCGTTTATATAGCATTATCCCCGACACCTGTTACACCACTGTTAATGTCCTTAAATCTACAAAGAAAGTTACCGTGTATAGAAATTGCGCCCGGATGAACGTCACGTGCTGTTTTCTTACGTGTATTTTACAGAGAAATATGCGGTAAATTGAAGGAAAGGGGTGGGCAGGGGACCTGACATGCCATTAAGTTGCAGACTCTTTGGTGGAGACTTCAGAGATTAAAAACAATCAGAGCACGCAGCTTCCCTTTCCGACTGCAGCTGTGCGCGGAGCTTCGTCGACTGATTCATGTGATTTACAACTGGAAAACATCAGGAGGTAAAGTTTGTATTCCTTCGTGCATTATTAAAGCCACAATTAAACAAGTATTAGGGTACTTTAAACGAAAACGAAAGGATTTTAGTCGCTTGTTTTCGTGCATTTTTAAGCGAAAAACAACTTTAATCATCGTTTAGATGACGATGATATGTTATTGTTATTCGTTGTATTAGTATGGGCGATTAATTATATATTTTACAATGTTTTAAAGGCAAACATACGTATTTTTATTTGGTTTTTTTTATTTGTTTGATTTGTTTTTGGTTACGCACTGGCATCTCAAAATGTGTCATGTGAGCAGAAATGTGTCTTTTTCGTGTATAGAAGTATAACACGGTCAGTCTTTGTCAGTAGTTGACTTGGTATTTTTTCTTGTCTTTATTTTTCAGTAATTCTCCGTGAAGACTGAGACAGTTTGGGCAGCAATGTCTCAGCTGTACTATAAGAAAGCTGACAGCTCCACGTACAGGGACCGCATCCCTCTGCGGATCGTGCGGGCAGAATCGGAGCTCTCTGCTCTGGAGCGGGCCTACCTGGGGGCTGTAGAGAAGGGGGACTACGCCAGCGTGAAGCAAGCTCTGGAAGAGGCTGAGATCTACTTCAGGATCAATATCAACTGCGTGGACCCCCTGGGACGCACAGCTCTGCTCATTGCTATTGAAAACGAGAACCTGGAGATTATTGAGCTGCTCCTCAGCTATAATGTACACGTGGGTGATGCCCTGCTACATGCCATCCGTAAAGAGGTAGTGGGGGCCGTTGAGCTGCTGCTCAACCACAAGAAGCCACGTGGGGAAAAGCAGGTACCATCTGATTTGCAGTTATTGCTGACCTTTGAACATACTGATTTTTTTTTTTTATTAATTTATTTGTTCAGCCTGGCATTGAGAAAATCTGCGAGCCTCATGTGGTTAATGTACATTATGTTATATTATATTTTGTAATGTATTTGTATAAAGAAAGTGTACTTTATTGGTCCCCGTGGGGAAAATCCCTCTCTGCATTTAACCCATTCACTCAGTGAAGCAGTGGGCAGCCATTGGGCGCCCGGGGAGCAGTGTGTAGGGATGGTACCTTGCTCAGGGGTACCTCAGGGTAGCTGTTCAGGGGAATCGAACCCCCGACCTTCCGATCATGGGGCCACCACTCTACCTACTGAGCTAACAAAGACATGTTGTGGCAAGTTTACATTTGAGCAGAAGTGTCTCAATGTCTTACTACAAGCTCCTAATTATTATATGGTTATATTTGTATACAGAAATATGTTGTTAAATATTTGTATATAAACTCCTCATATGTTTAAGTAGGAGCAGTGAGAAAAATCATTTTATTTTCTAGTCTGACTCTGAAAGAGATAAGATGCAAATAAGTGTGTTCTTTGCCCTTGTATTCTAGCTACGACTGGATGATTTAGGGAATAAAGCTATTATCTTCTCTCATAAGTTACCGAACCCCTACTTCTGTGGGCCTTTCTGCTACAGCTTTTACAACAAATTAGCCGTTCTCCACAGTCTGTTTATCAGACTCTTTGAGAAAGGCCCCGCTTGTGTTCAGCTTCTTGACATCTTTGTAAATGAGGTCTTCCAGTACTGCTTGCTTCTCTCTATGTATTCTGTGAAAAGGGAAAAACAGGGTGTTGCTTCCAACCAGGAAGCCACTTTGAGGCCAGCTGAACCACAAGCCATTAGTTGTGTGCTTGCTGTTAGACAAGATGGTTAGAGACTGAAGACAAATGAAATTAGATCCAGTCAAAGAGTTGTTTCAGTTCCTGCAAGAGGTTTAAAAGCATTGTACTTTTGTGATAAAATGTTTGTGTACCATAAATGCGTTATTTTATGTCTATTCATTTGTGTGTTGCTCTTTTGGTTTCTTCAAAAGGTTCCATCGGCTCTGCTGGACAAACAGTTTTCAGACTTCACCCCAGACATTACTCCGATCATCCTGGCAGCTCAAACTAACAACTATGAGATCATCAAACTGCTCTTGCAGCGAGGGGTTTCTATACCCCAGCCACACGCTATACGTTGCAACTGTATGGAGTGTGTGTCCAGTTCAGACGTGGATGTCCTGCGTCACTCCCGTTCTCGTCTAAACATCTACAAGGCCCTTGCCAGCCCGTCACTCATTGCCCTCTCAAGCGAGGATCCTTTCCTCACGGCATTTCAGCTTAGCTGGGAGCTGAAGGAGCTCAGCACGGTGGAGAACGAATTTAAATCAGAGTATGAAGAGCTGTCCCGTACATGTAAACAATTTGCAAAGGACCTCTTGGACCAGACTCGTAGTTCCAGAGAGCTGGAAGTAATCCTCAATTACCGTGACGACATCAACCCGTTGCTGGATGAGAACATTAATGAGCTTGCCCGACTGAAACTGGCTATCAAATATTCCCAGAAAGAGGTGAGCTTTTATTTGATTTTGATGTGGTCTTTGTCACATTGGAACAAAAAGGTTTTTTTCTGGATATATTTAAGGTGAAAAAGACATGAATACAGGAATTTGTCTACACCAGTGCACATGCAGATTGGCAACAAGTAATAAGAATCACCCTGTTTGAAGATGACAAGAAATGCGCCAAGATGAGCTGTAAATGGCCTGGGTGGAGATGTCCTGTGGGAGTTTAGAGCAATATGTAATTGCCAGGCTGGCTCTTAGCGATGCATTACAGTAACCCTCTTAGAGAATCCCATGATAATTGGATAATTGAGGATAATGATGGGAGAAGTAATGGCCATTTCCCTGAAATACAAACTCATAATATTTTAAACTGGGTGGGGACCGTTTAGTGTCTTTTAACATATTCTTTGGATATTTATCAATTACATACTAGTTTTGTATTATTTGCTGCAAATGAAAGAAAACCTACTAATAATTAGATACCGTGGCATTCACACAAAGATCTGTGTCATTCATAATTATATGTATATTTAATTTATATTGGAGTATAACAGTACATTGCATGAATATCAACCTAACACAGAGCAGGTGACAACAAGTTTTTAAAAGGTGGTGCTTTTGGTGTCAGGTCACAACATGTAACTTTTTTTCACACCTAAACGGCGGATAGTGTTGGGAGAATCCAGTCACCCTCAGACTCTGTTTTGTTTTGCTACGGGTGGTGTCTCTGTAGAGCATATATAGAGGCAGAGGCAGGTCACCTGACCCCACCCGCTCCCTGTGAATTCACCTGACAGTGACCAGTGCTATTGTCACATCGGTGCATCACACGGCGTTTATATCAGGAAGCTGTTAGAGTAAACACCAGTTAATGTTCAATCCACCTGGCATTCATGTTTTCACGTGCAGTTATTTCTGGTATATGGTTTAACTCGACTTACACTGTTACAAATTCAGGATTGCTTTGTTTGTTTTGGTGTTTCCTGGATAACAGACTGGAATATAAAGTACACATTGCGTGCACTCAGCGGGTTTCTTTCATTTATTCCACTCATTAAAGAGGCTGTGTGGAACTTTTGGGTCTTGTTTGTGTACAGCAGTTGTATAGTATTTGCAGAGTTAATGGCTCATACCACCCATGTAGTCTTAGAATTGAGATTTTAAGAGTATTTTGATGACACAGTTGGTGACATGAATAAGAAAGATCAGTATGACTGCCAACAGTTCTGTGTGCTACAATTTATCTCCATGGAAAAGGCTTTAGACAGGCCTTCCTACTAATTTTGTTTATCTAATCATTTGGCCTAAATGAACTCCAGTGAGCCTGAAGTGAGAACAATGATCTTGGTAAGAAAAAGAAAAAGATTTTTTTCTTTCTTTTTTTAAAAACATTTTTGACATTTGATTTTCAGCTTATGTGATTATTTGTAAATTCTACATCAGCACATTAAAAAAAAAAAAAGCATTAGCATTATATTTAATGGGCCCTATAGAAAACTGTTCCCATTACCCCCAACCATGGTGTCTCCCTCTGGAACCTGGTTCTGCCCGAGGTTTCTTCCTGTTAAAAGGTAGTTTTTGCTTTCACTGTTTATTGTTCATAGGGGGTCTGTGTATTATTTTGTATTATGATACCTTGTCATGAGACAAGGTAACATTTTTCCAATATTCTGGTGACTTGATTTTAACTTTGTGACATGCAGAGTTATCCTGATGGAAGGAATCGTCAAAAAATGGGTACACTGTGGTCATAAAGGGATGAACATGGTCAGCAACAACACTGAAGTACACTGTGGTGTTTAAATGCTGATCGCCCACACCATACATCACTATCACTAACCTGGACTGTTGAAAAGCTATGCTTTCATGTTGCTTATGCCAGATTCTGACCCTACCATGTCTAGTCTATCACTTCAAAGCCGTTTGGCCATTCTCCTCAGCCAACTGTATCAGAAAATTGCTTCTTACTGGATATTTTGCTTTTTTTTGTTTTTGCATCAGTCTCTGTGCACAGTAGAAGAGTCTGTGTGGGAAAATCCCAGTAGATCAGGAGTTTTCTCAGACCACCCTGTCTGACACCTACAGCCATGTAATATTCAACGTCACTTAAATCATTTCTAATTCTTGTGCGCATTTGAACCTCAGCAAGTTGTTCTGGCCATGTCTGCATGCCATGAGTTGTTGCCATGTTTGCCATCATTAGAAATCTTTGTTGTAACATGTTGTACACATGGACCTAATAGAGTGGCTCATGAGTGTAGAATATCATTCTTTATTAATAACAATAATAGCAATTATCATAACAATTCAGATTAAAAAGACAGACACAGAGCCATGTGATTCAAGGGTTTAAAAAATAAAATTCACTTAAATATTAATTGGACTACACAAACTAGAACTTGTTTGATGTCAGCAATATTAGGATCATGAAAGTCTTCTTTCTTGTATTCTTCAGAGATTTCTCTGGAGGTTTCTTTTCTTGCTACTTGCTGTGCTCACTCTGCTTTTGCACATTTTCCTCTAAACCTGAGCTCAAACTCCAAATCCAAAGTGTTAAGTGTTTAAAAAGTACAAAATATATTTAACTGATTTTGAATTTTGGATTCTCAGTAACTATTAAAAATAGTGGTAGTGTTATCTGTGAATTTTTAGATAGTAGAGTGAATATCAATGTTCTGTATGATGCAATTTGCAATATATTGTGAAATAGAAGTAAGAACACTAATTGATGTAGGAGTCTAGCGTGAGATCTGTGTAGGGTCATTTTCACCTTCAAAAAATGTCCCCATACACAATCTGTTCCTTCCAGATGTCACCATTTGCCTCCAGTCATTTTATGTAAGTTTAAATCTGTCCAGGACAGTTACTGAAGGAAACTTTGAAAAGGCAGATTCTGCACTGATAGATGACCTCATCACCCGCAACAAAATGCTTTTTAGTACCATAATTGGGATCCATTTAGCCATAACTGGGTTATGCTGAAATTGAATTCCATCACCATCTGCAGATGTCCAACAGACTTTTATATCAAATCTCATAGAGCAGAGAAAATGTGCATGGGGAAAAGATTTGGCAATCATTTCTTAACAGAGCGTTGAACATCACTTTAGAAATACCTTTTTGAAACTCTTTGTTTTGAATGAATGTTTCTAGTCGTTTTGCAGTTCTTGATCTTTTGTGGCAAAAAACTTGCACATCTTTTGTGTACCATTAATTACCGTTTTTTCTGTTTAGTCAGTTTTTGGTTGGACCTGAGAGACAGATGGGTAAATAAAAAACAATTTATTTCATGTAAACATCTGTAATCTTTATTTGTCTCTCTCTTTGTCTCCTAGTTTGTTGCTCAGCCCAACTGCCAGCAGCTGCTGGCGTCTCGCTGGTATGATGAATTCCCAGGCTGGAGGAGGCGTCACTGGGCAGTAAAGCTCATCACTTGTATCTTCATTGGCCTTACGTTTCCACTGTTATCCATCTTCTACCTGATCGCTCCAAAGAGCCGCTATGGCTTATTCATCCGTAAGCCTTTCATCAAGTTCATCTGTCACACTGCTTCCTACCTGACCTTCCTCTTCCTGCTCTTCTTGGCCTCGCAGCATCTACAGAGTGATGATCGGTTGGAACACCGTCAGGGCCCACCACCCACCATTGTGGAATGGATAATCCTGCCCTGGGTGCTTGGTAATAATACACACACATATTGCAGACTCTTTTTTAGACTGCACTCCTGTGTACATGAACACTGTAGTCTAAGCAGAGGTTTGTCACATGATTTCATTCATTGCGTCTCATGTGTGTTTGCCTCGGGACAAATACCTGAGCAAAAATACAACAATGACACGTCTTATTTTCATTCCTTGAAGGCTTTTTATGGGCTGAGATCAAACAGATGTGGGATAGTGGTTTTGAGGACTACATAGATGACTGGTGGAACCTGATGGATTTCATAATGAACTCTTTGTATCTTGCAACAATTTCACTGAAGATTGTTGCCTATATTAAGGTAATTTATATTAAAGGCTTCTATCTGTCTGTCTGTTTTATTTATTACTTTGTGCTGGAGCAACCATCATGCCGGAAAAATTGACATTGTGTGCTATCAATATTGAGCATGTTTGACTATTGTTCTTTCTTTTTTTTTTTCAACAGTATAGTGCAAAGTGCCAGTTGAGAGACACCTGGGAAACGTGGCACCCAACATTGGTGGCAGAGGCATTGTTTTCCATCGCCAACATTTTCAGCTCCTTGCGTCTCATTAGTCTTTTCACTGCCAACTCCCATTTGGGGCCTTTACAGATTTCATTGGGCCGCATGCTTCTGGACATACTTAAATTTCTCTTCATCTACTGTCTAGTGCTGCTAGCATTTGCCAATGGCCTCAACCAGCTCTATTTTTACTATGAAACAAATAATGGGACTTGCAAGGGCATCCGCTGTAATCAGCAAAACAACGCTTTCTCCACGCAAGTTGAAATTCTTACATAAATTACCCCTGAAAATCTGACTTGATTAATATGTTTGTTTTTCCAACAGTGCATGCTGTGATGTATGGTTGTGTTCTTTTTAGGCTATTTGAAACACTGCAGTCATTATTTTGGTCTATCTTTGGGCTGATTAACCTGTACGTGACGAACGTGGAGCCGGACCATACATTCACAGAATTTGTCGGCTCTACCATGTTTGGCACCTATAATATCATCTCCCTGGTAGTGCTTCTAAACATGCTAATTGCAATGATGAACAACTCATACCAGCACATTGCTGTAAGTAGCAAAATAAAGATTACACAATTATTTATTTTAGAGTTAGATTATTAGAGTTATCAAAATAATCTGCCTAATCTGCTCTATGAATTGTTTGTGTTTCTTTTCAGGATCATGCAGACATAGAGTGGAAATTTGCACGAACAAAATTATGGATGAGCTATTTTGAAGAAGGGGGAACTTTGCCATCTCCATTCAATTTAATTCCCAGTCCAAAGTCAGTTTATTATCTAATTGGATGGATAAAAACACATTTGTTTAGGAGACCAAGCACAAAACGTCTTGAAACCTTTGAAACTTTGGGGGTAAAGTGTCTCCAGAGATTTTCTCTGACCTGTACTGTCACCACTGCATGTTATACATTTTCATGCATGCCTGTTTATACCCTGTCTACTATTACAGCCTCTAAGTGGCTTCGAAAATGAATTCATCCATGTTAATGTGTGTCAAACGATTACCTATTGAAAAAGGGCAAGTAAGAAAAAAAAATCACCTAATCAGTGAAAATGGAAATAACCCGGTGCTGTCTTAATGAGCCTTTTGTTTTTCTTGTAATTACAGAGACGTGCAGCTGAAAATGTAAAATTAAGCCATGAGTATCAGGTAATAATTTGTATTATATTGCACTGTATTGTTTATTATTTTTGTTGTTTTTTTACTATCCTATTTTGATTGAATGTAAATGGTTAAATGTAAACATAACTCTTTGCTTGTTTAAAAACAATGTGTTTTAGGAGGTTTTGAAGAACCTCATGAAACGATATGTGGCTGCAATGATTAGAGATGCCAAGACAGAGCAGGGGTTGACAGAGGAAAATTTCAAGGTAGCATAAAATTCTTTATCATTTAAGCTTAAGTACCCAGTTGTATTATGTTTTCCATATATTTTTTCCACTGTTTAATCTCAGATTCCCAATAATTGATAGGAGCTCAAACAGGATATCTCCAGCTTTCGCTTTGAAGTTCTGGGAATGATGAAAGGTAAACCTGGGCTAGCAGGTAATATTGCAAGTACCACCTTGGCTTACCCTGGAAATCCATTCAAATATTCTCCTAAATTCCCTACTGATGAGTCTCAACAGAACCAGGACATCTTTGATATGTTCACTGCCACTACCAACACTACCAACACCACCCTACAACCTGCCAAAATCACCAGGTCTGCTTGCTTTAATAGCCAAACCAGTGGTTCAGTTATTTTGTCTACTGCAGGACAGACTCAAAAAGAGGCTGCCAAAGAAGATTCAAACCCTGGATCCCTTCACAAAAGGAAAAAACTCCCTTCTCTGAAATGTGATGAAATATGTTCATTGCCAGAGGAAGAAATGTTGGGTACTGATGAAGAAATGCAAGGAAAACATCAGACTGAGGACATAATTGTGGACGTTTCACAGACTGATGAGAAGGAATTCAAGGACATTAAACCTTCTTGCAAAGAACTTGATAAGGATGGGCCGACAAAATATAACAATTAATCTGCCAGCAAGTAAAACTTAAAATAGTTTATTGAAATAAGTTTGCTTGTGATAAACTGTACTGTAGTAAATTACCTATTCTGCTTAATCATGAATTCTATCCAGTGTATAATGGTATTAGACAATCACAAATTATATGACATGCATACAACCACAAAAATATGTGGTGAGGATGGGCGTCAGTGCCGACTTGATGCTCAAGCAATTGCCAAACATATTACTAATTTATGTTTTAAACTGAGCAATTCATTCCAAAGAATCCTTACAACCCACTGCCTATCTTCTACTCTTTTATTGCCTACTTACTATGCTATGCAAAAATACTGTATCTTATCCAGTTATTTGTACGAAAGAAATAATCAACAGTTTTAACACTGATATTGTATTCAGTACTGGAGGTAATTTGAAATTTAATCATTCTATCAAGTACACAAGCACCTTCTCTCCTACACTGGGAGGTGTAAGGGAAAGCTTTTTTCTTATTTTTGCAGTTGTAGCAGACGATGTAATCTAGATGATGTAATCTAGATTTGGTCCTGTAGTAACTGTTGTAACCTTGCAGGCAGTGTTGCGGACTAGTGAACTACATTTAACTTAATTTATAGTTTAACTTATTTTGCAATAACTTTCAGTTGATCCACAATAATGTAAGCACTTCATTTGTATGTTTTTGTGGGTGCTTAGCTGTTAAAGCTATAACTTTGACCCATTTATTTAAACAGTTTTACGATTGCAGTCAACAAGCTTTTAAACTAGGTATAGCAGGGTGGTATTGCCCAGCGTTCACTAAGCAACATCGTCAGTGATAAAAGTGATGGGGGTTTTTTTCAAAAGAGTTTTACATGCCTAGGCAACTGTGTGATGGCCAGTGTGCCAGTGTGTGCAATGATTCTTTTTTTAAATATTTTGTTAAAATGTCATATCATATGCAGATTGCCAGTTTAATCTTCTTTTTTTTTAAAGAAAAAATCAGTTTGAAGTTATATTTAAAAGGGGCTCCATACAAATTTCTTCATGTGTTGATTTAGGTGTAGTTCTTCCAGTTCTTTCAGTATGATTTACATTTTCATAACACTGCTTGCAAGGTTAAAGGCATTCTAGAAATATGTGATAACTCTTCCGTTTAGTAACTTGTCACATGTATTTAAATTGCTCTGAATAAATAAAATCAAATGCTACTGTAAGTGTTATCTTGTCTTGCTACCACATGTGCCTCTCTTCAGTTAGAAGTCCTCCAGTTGTTTGGTTGTCTTTTGGTAAGCAAAGACATTTCTGTGTGTTTGGTCTATGTCAGGGCCTTCTAAACTACTGAGAAAAGGATTAATGATAGGACCCATAAATACTGTAGAAATAGAAACATATTCTAGAAATAGAATACGTAACTTATTTCTTATTAGAAATCAGCTAAAACTAAATTTTTCTCAGATAATCAGAGACACATCTTGATTTTACATTTGAGAATGAATGGTTCAATGGTACAGTATCTTGAGCAAGGGTGAGGAATGTGTAAATTCGCTTTTGGCTGATTTTTGTTTTTATGTTTTAGCTTCTCTCTGAAACACTTTTTGATTTTATCTTGAAAGGTGCTATAGAAATAAAATGTTACTTACTTACTTTACTGTGGAATGCCTATATTTGTAGTAATGCTGGCTAAAGTTCCATCACTAATCCTGACACACTGGCTGAGGGAAAGGTTGAAGATGAAGAAGAGAACATCAGCTAACTCGCTGGCATGCTCTGAGAGTCCTGCTGCCTTATGGGGGTTGAGCTTCCTCACTGCTGTGTGTACCTGAGCTCATGAGATTGTTAGGCGAGGTGATGAGGGGCAGGTGGTCCTATGTGTATGTTTCCTCTCTGTGTTATAACTGGAGGTCTCAAAACAGGTGTAGAAGGTATTGAGGTCATTGGACACGCTGTCTATGGAGCTGGTGATGCTGGTAGTGCTTGTGTAGTCTGCGATGTGTTGTAGGCCTAGCCACATGTGCCTGGAGTCAGCAGTAGAATAGAAGCCATCCAGCTTCTCTCTGTATTATTAAGGACGGAGTTGTTTAAGTAACAGGAAATAGGAAATGCTTAGATGTCAGGGCTTTTAAGTGTGTAATGGCCCAAGAAAGATGTCTTGGCCCATTGTTGTATGTTATCTTTCCTAATGGCATAACAGTCATCCTTAATAAGGCTATTATTTCTATGTATCCAAATTATTCATCAATATATATATTAGTTACCACTAAGAAAGAGTTAAATGTTAAGTGGAAAAGGAGCAATAAAGTGATTTTGAATGTCTGTAAATCAAATAGCATTATACTTGGTTCTAACCTTTCTATTTGAAAAACTCGAAATTTAAAGGTTTCTATTAATGGTGTGTTTGTTGACCAAGTTCATGAGACCATTGTACTGTGTATAATCTTAGTAAATTATCCTGGACAGAACATATCAAGATAGTTGCTAAAATAGGAAATGGGATTTCTGGGTTTAAAAGACCAGGCTCAACCAGGTCATTTCATGATTTTAATTATTGCCAATTAATATTGATGAGATTTCTTTTTTAAAAAACCTCTCTAAATGTTATAAAACAGTTAACTCTTATGCTTTTATTATGATGTTATACATCTGTGTGGAGATTGTAATAGTGCACTGTTAAAGTTTAAAGACCCGTGACCCCAGGAAGAATAGCTGCTTTAGCTAATGAGGATCTTAATAAACTAAACCAAACCTAATTGCTTAAATCTTGTTTGTGCTTGGAGAAAAGAATTTAGTAAATAGTTTACCTTTTCTCTACTTGTATATACAGTCCTTCTTCTATGGAATAGTGTTGCACAGCTGTCCTCAATATGTTTCCTTTTTCACAGACTGTGTGACGTGTTAGAGGAAAAAAAAAACACTAAAGGCATATTTTTCTTTCTCATATATGACAAATAATGCTAATTCTGTTTTGTTATGAACTATAAATTCTTACATTTGGAGCTCTTCTTATAAAAAAAAAAAAACCTTTTAAAGTAGTTTTGGCCATTTTTGTAATTGTTATTTTAACCAAAGACCAAGAACAGTTGAGCTGAACACTCATTCATTTTAAGATAAATCAAGTGGCTTTTTTACCCAGATATGTTTTCTTCTCATCACAACTATAAATATGACATGTTGTAGATTTAACTGTGAATCGACTTGTAAAATGAGGTCTGCCTTGCAGAACGACAGAAAATAACAACTGTTTGAATGTTAGTGCTTTAGTATGACTGCTCTAGTAATAAAACTCTTACATCCATGACTCTTTGTAAGAGGTTATTAAAAGTCATTTTTAATTAGCTGTTAAGCCCAGTATACCTTTTGCCAACCTTGACCTAAATGGAAGAGAAACCTGTATGGTTTTACACTATTGATCACTGAAACTGATGCAGTAAAACTACAGGCTGTAGGTACATTTGAGAACTTCACCACTGTTAATAATTTAGCACTCAGCACTGATATTTCCGGTTCTCTCTCATGATTTAGAGATTCTGTGGTTAGAAGAAAACTGAGCTTGTAATATGGTTTATTTCCAAATAGGAGATGAAGCACCATCTAGTGATCTGTGAGGATATTAAAAAAACAAGCGTAGTTGGCTAATGACAATACTATGGTACCTCTGTGTAATGACTATGTAACTAATCATACTATTTAAAGTAGAAAACCTGTGAAAAACATGTCATGATGGTACCTTTCAGGTACACAGAGGCCTATCGTGTTGCTACTTTTAACCTGTAGTCAACAACACAGTGCTTAATAGAGGTAAGATACTACATTGATTAACTGAGCTAATAGGTGCCTGTGAATCAGTGCTACTGGTGCTTGGTTACTCATAGTTTGTATTTTCACAGACCGTTTCACACCTTCATGGATTGAAGCTTGCAGGCAACCTTAGGTGCTGGATGAAACTGATGTCAGTTTCTGTTACCATAGTAGCCCTGCTATCTTTAGAAACCAATCAACAAAGTGTTTGGGTCTTTGTACTATATCTGAAAAGCTCACTCAGTTAAGATTGCTGTTGCACCTTTTCCTTTAATTTTCACTTAAAAGTAAAACGAGAGGAGCCCGTACTTGGGATCAAGACTTACTTTATTCTTTGTGGCACATGAAATGTTTGTGTCGGTGCCAGCGTGTGTGTCAAGGACTGATTCAGAGAGAGCGTGCTCTGATTCAAAGTGCAAAAGCCACACTGCATTTGATTATCACTGCAACGAGTGTGTGGCGATTCCATTATCTCTCACTGGCTGTTTAATAGGATGATGGGACTGCATAGTAACTGTATTTCAGTGTTTTGGATTTTAGAGGATTAAGGGGCTTTCTAAATGCATTAAATAAAGGTGATAAGAAGCTTGGGCCTTCAAACTGTCACTTTTTAAATGTGATTGGCTGATTTTTTTCATTTCAGGCTTACAACTTGAAAATACAAAGTCAGTCCACTGATTTTCAGCTCCAGATGTCTGTCTGTTTGCTTTTCTTTGCCATCCTCCCTTTCTAACCCCTCAACCAGTCACAGCAGATGGCTGCCTCTCCCCGAACAGGGTTCTTCCAGAGGTCTTGTTCTGTTAAGACTGAGCTCTTTTTTCCTAAGTGCTTGCTAAAAGGGGAACTTTTAGAGAGAGCTTTTCTCTCTAATATTTACCTACATCTTTACCTACAATATGAAGCTCACTAAGATAACTGCAGTTTTGAACTGATGTTACATAAATAAAACTAAACGGAGTCAATGTCTGCACGGTATTGGGTCTTAGGGTCTTTAAAAAAAAATTCGCTGACTTGGCTGGTTAAGACAATCTTTTCCTTATCCTATTTAGAGCATCTGGTTAAAACCAGATTGGTTTCACAACATGTGCCAAACAGAACTCTATAACTAAAACCTTTAGTTACGGTACAAATAACAATTACAATTCCAGAACTGTTGATATTTGCAAAGTGAAAACAAATAATGATCATTAACCAGCACCATGAGTCATTTAGCTTATTAATAGTCAAGAGAGCTGCAACTTTTGGAAATAAGAAAAGATGACATATACATTGCTTTCATATGCTTAGCACATGGGTTCCTGCTGTTCATCTTCAAGATACAGCCTGTTATCATTTCCTTGTAACAGTTGTGGGATTTTACATTTTCCACATCTGAGACATTTCCCAGACAATCGTTTCCTGTGCTCTGTTATATATGTGAAGTTGTTTTTAAGACGCTTCTGTTAACATGCCAGTGGGAGTTTCCTGTTGTCCTGTTACTACTTGTGTTACAGCACTTAAGTGTTGCCTCGAGACTCCATTCTTTGTAGCCTTAAAAAATACCACGGCTCCACTATGAAAACATCTGACAAGTGAATAGTAGGTGCAAAGACCTGAAAACAAGAGCTGAACTTTAAAGACTACAAAAATAGTTTTCTGCTAAACAGGAAGATACTTTCAGATACTTCTGTATCTCAATATTTACTCCTCCTCGAATGTAAAAGTAATCATTGGCAATATTATCCATGTCCAACAGCACTGTGAGCCTCGGTGCTTGTACTCCCACAGCCACAAGGTGGAGCAAATAGCATTCTGAAAGATTTACACAATCCTAGTTCTGGAATTTGTTCAGAGCAGAGATTATGTAATGTCCCTTTGTTTGTAGTCCAAATAAAGGACACTTTTATAGGCAAAATACATTTGAACTATTCATCCCAAGTATCCGATCTGTTCAATATCTATATCTATCATGCATCACTCAGCTTCAAAGCACTAGACACAAACTGAAATATTTTGCATCTGTGCACTGAGAATGTGTGCTGAGCCTTCAAATCTTCGTTTGAATCAGTGTGCAGATGCAATACAACACAACAGATTTTTGGATACAACTTTTTCCATAAAGTGAAAGCATAAACTCATAAAGGGACTTTTAGAATCACTCTTATATGGCTAAAACATGTTTATGGAAATTATTTTGTGGCAAATGTGCACATTCAAATTTAGACAAGGAATCAAAAAGGTTAATTTGAAAAAATGGTAAAACTGCTAACAATCAAAAATTGTCTCGCTATTTTAAAAATGCTTTTCCTCGATCAGTTAATATAGAAAAAAAGATTGCAATCCTTGATTATAAATGGTAAAGCCCAGTGTATGTTTTAAGTCATATGGGGGTTTTTTTAAGTGCTGGGTGGTCCATGCATGTACAAAAAAAATTGCCATCCTCCTAGGGTGGGTGAGACTTGTGGAATATAAACTCCTGCTCTCCGTCTGCTCCCACTACTCTGGGTCTGGGTGGGCTAGCGAAGGAATCAGGGATGAAGCTCCTTTTTGTGGTTGCCTGTGCACTTTTTGTGCTCTGTACATTTGATAATGCTGACTCCTCAGCTTATGACAAAATTGTTGCCCACAGCAGGATCAGAGCCAGAAAAGAAGGGTAAGCTCATCTATATATATTGTTTTGCTCTTTTTTGTGCATGCATGAACATTGAACAGTTGTTATCGTTTTTGCACATTTGTATACTGTACAACTCTATAAGTTCCAACTATTTCAACAATATTAATTGTGTATTGTTTTTGAAGGGTATCTAAAATCTTGCATTTCACTTAGGACATGTTTAATCCAGCATGTGTCGTTATCACTATTCATATTTAACTGTCTGGCTTCAAAAGCAGCAGTAGTATTTGCCAAATAATTATTCATGCTTGACGGCCTGATGTCTTATCCATCTGGGCTGTTAAATAATCCTTTATACGTGAATAATTTCATAGATTCCTACTGATGTTTTACTTGCTGACTAATTCTTCATCACATTTTTTGGTATAAATTCTCATTTAGACCCAATGTCTGCGCCCTCCAGCAAGTCATGGGAACCAAGAAGAAATACTTTAGCACTTGCCGTAACTGGTACAGAGGGTCCATCTGTGGAAAGAAAGCGTGAGTGCTTGTTTTGTGTATCCAACAGGAAAAACTGTACCTCCAGTTCAAACAAATACATTCACTCAGCAGTTATGTGGGCTTACTGTTCTCTTTATTTTCTTTTCCCATTTCTTCTACTCCACCCCCACCCCACTCCCTCACCCCACCCCCTCCAACATGCGCACGCAAACACATACACACACACACATACATCACCCCCTGCCCTCATTTTTCATGGAAACTCGGATGTTTCCACAGAGATAGACATCTGTTATCTTACTTTGAATTACATTACCACTTAAAATGAAAAACACATTTATAGATCCAGCCTTTAAACTCTTTCTTTAGAAAACAGTCCAGTTTGATCCTATAAACTAAAAGTTAGGGTTCTCATAACTTGAGCAGTCGGTTGATGTTGGATGCCACAGTGGTGAACCACTGATTCCAGGATATGATGTGGCTGCAAAATGTTGACTGTATTCTTGAATGGAAAAGCGTTTAGCTCAGCCATTATAAGAAACCTCTTTATTGGTTTTATTCCAGCAATCTCAGCAGTTTTAGTTTAAACATGAATCAAGTTTGTGGCTATTAACAGACCCTTTTACTCTTTTTCTTCCTGTCACACACATATACATACATACAGCACTCACACTGAGTTTGCCCTCAGCGCTTGACTGAGTCATGCTTTGCACTCTAAATAGGCTCAGTTCTTCATGATGAATACCCTCTGCTCACTGAAATCGGCAAATGATAAGGTTGAAAACAGTCAAAATATTGTGTTTTAGCGGAAGTCTGACAAGAAACTATATAATCAATGAAAAGTTGGATGGGCTAAAGCTGCAGTTAAAGCTGACTGATTTACTCATTTAAACCTGTTACAGTCTTCTAAATTAAATAAGTCAACTTCAGTTTAGAGTTAGACTTTTCTCCCATAGAAGAGAACTAGATAATCTGGTCGAATATAAATAAATCGAGCTTCTTCTTTTTTTAAAGTACGAGTTACATGATTGAGGAGGCCAAGTCTCCTGGATCCATTAACTGCATCCGATTTTATTACCTTCTCCAACCAAGCCTGTTGCTCCTCCCATCATTC